TTTTTTTTTTTTTTTTTTTTTTTTTTTTTTGCGCTACACCCCAGCTAACTAAATGCCTGGAGCAGGCTTTAATGGAACACACACAGGTAACAAAAATGAGGATGCGAATCTAGATAGACATTTTAATTTTCACGACTTTTGTTGTTGTTCAAAAGCCGCTCCTTATTGCGCAAATGGTCTTCTGAATTGCAAAATGAATTCTAACTAAAAGGGCCACTAATGATTGTGAACAATCGAGTGTGGTAATGTGTTATCCCAATATGCCGCCATCTGTAGCCTCATGAACAACAACAAACTGGACAGTCGGCAAAACTGTCCATACTTAATAAAAGATCGGCAGCTGACATGATCTTAGCAGGCTATTCCTGAGTTGTCCGTTTGCCTCTGTGTGAAAATCAGTCTTCGTGCGAAAGCATTCATATGGAAATGTTTTCACGCGCGTTCATTTTCATGCAAATCAATGTCACTTACAAACGATAAAATTCACTCGAGGACTCGTTAAATGGCAATGACCTTTTAATCCTATGAAATTGAAAACAATTTTAAAAAATGCGGTTGCGAAATAATCTAATCGGGAACGATAAATTAAAAACCTTCTCCTGAAGCAATTGCAGTAAATACTCCATTAAGAAGCTCAGTGTCAAAACTAGTGAGACTATTGCGAGGTTCGGAGGAATTTTTTCTTCACTATGTATGTAATGGAAAAAGCTTCGCAATACATCTCTCTAAAAAAAACCCTGACAAACATTAATTTCAACGAAGATCTCTCATTTTTATTGTAGTTTAAAATGTTACTTGACACTGCAAACGAGATAATACTGATTTATACGAAGATCCGAGACTGACGAACAACATCCTTATTTAAACAACGCTTTCAATGTTGCCTTGCAGTAAAGTAATGAAACAATTGAAACTAAGCATGGAGCAAGAACAGTCAAAAAAGAAAGAAGAATTCGAGACTGAAGAAGAGACATGTACGTCACTGACAAAAGACTTCTGTGGATATACGTCCGCGCATGGCCTGGAGAGAGTAATGTCTGCAAAAGAGTGGATACGAAAAGCTTTCTGGAGTTTACTCTTTATTGGAGCAGTCGTCGTGCTCGGGTTTCAGGTATACACGCTGTTCAAGAAATATCAGCGTCGACCACTTAACACCCTTATTACTTTGAAATCTGACACGGTAAGTTTGAAAACAAAAAAAATATGCGAGATACGGATCAATTTTAGTTTCTGGGCAACTGAGGTCGAATCATGGTAATCGACGTCGATATCCATATCGACCTCNTACGCCAAATTTATACACGTTATTCTTTGTTTCATAATCAGCCTTAGTGAAAATTTGCTTAGTGAACGGGAAATCCCTGTGTAACTGCCTCTCTCCACCACCCAGACCGCCCTGTTCCACCACACATACAGATAATTTATTTTAAGTAATATTAAAAAAAATCTGTTTTTCAGTCAGTGTTTTTTATTTATTTCAACCCTTCCTAGTCGTAACTATTACACAGATTCATCTAAAACTTTCATGCCATAAATGCTGAGTAAGTTTTTCCAATGGAAACGTTCAGAATTTACATTTAAATTTAGTAAGCTGTTGTCATCTTGAGATCAGCATGAACAATAGTTAAATGTTAAGCTTTCTTGCTGCGAAGGGTACAAAAGCAAAGGTCTTATACAGAGTCTGGAAAAAAAATATTTGTGCACGGAATTAAGGCACATGCTTCGTAATCTATATATTTTGAAGTGTTCCGTTTTATGCTACGTGTGCCTTAAGGAAAAGGTTCCATTTTAAATGAGACCTATAAAACAGAATTGTGTTCAGCCATTTAAAGGTCAAGTTTGGAAAAACTTACTCACTCAGGTGACTCTATTCCTGCCTAATCATTCATTTTGGATAGCTAATGAACTTTCACGCATTTTCTTCTTTCTAGAGTCTGCCGTTTCCAGCTGTGACACTGTGCAACTTCAATGCCATCAGATATGAGGCGCTTCTTAACAGTAACTTCACGGATCTGATAGATACGATTAAAAAACAAAGTAAGATTACTTAACAAACGTTAAGCCATCAGTAGATGAGGATAACTTTAATATTCACTTGGAAACGAGAATTGTGGAATATAGAGCGTTTTACATAATTATAGATAATTGGATAAATAAAAATAACTGAATAAGAATTTTCAGTAGCACATTCCACGGAGAGGCTCTTCGACCGTTGTTTCCAGTTCGAATTGGGATTTAGAAATGTTGGTTTTTTTGTGAAGGGAGGAAAACTGAGGAACCCGGGCTGAAGCCCTCGGAGCAGAGGCGGAAACCAAGAACAAACTCAACCCTGATTTGAAACCCGGGCCACTGACATTGGTGGGAGGCGAGCACTCTCACCACTGCTCCATCCCTGTGATTTTTGCCGCTTAAAATTTATTTTTATTTATCATCAGATTCATCATCGAACTCCACATCCTCAAGAAAACGTCGTTCAAGCGATGATAATGATGGAGGTTTGCAAACTACCTATGCCCCGACCCCTACTGATTACCCCAATGATTACCCTACCACTGATGATTATGGAGACGACTCATGGTGGGATGATGACGATTTTGACTTTTGGGGAGATGACGATGCGGATGACCCGGACTATCTTGACCCAGAATTCTTTGCCAGTGAGAAAGTATCCCTTTTGTTGGCAAAACAAGACGAAAGTTTTCTCTCATCTTTAGGACATCAGTTTGAAGACATGGTGCTGTCTTGTACTTACCGAGGCATTTCATGCAGGTATTAGTCCTAACATGATCAAACATTAATAATACCTGCATTTTACAGTAGACTTTGAAACTGGTTCCTCCGTGAACAGCGTTAATTAGCTGAACGCTAAATGACTTATTTACATGCCTTGCCGAGAATTTTTTGCCGAGTATTGTTCTTCAATTCCATTAAGCAATCCGGCTTAAAAGGCTCCTTGGAAAAAATGTATGATATTGTGTCAGCATCGAGGAATTTAAATTACCACTAAATCCCTTATAAAAACTGTAATCTAGCATTTGTAATTTTTTTTCGACTCTAGTCTTTTTAAAACATTAACTCGTTCTGCTTTGAGAAAGCTCCCTGAGCAGATAAGTCGTCTGTTTATTACTGAGAAACTTCAAAACATTATTAAAGCATTTACCGTTTATTCCTTGTAATAAAAAACGGATATCAATTATTAGGTGAACCACCAATTTTGTATCATCTGACTGAGATCTATTATCCTTTTCTCTCCCTCTCTGTTTCTTGCTTTTTTTTTCACTTTAGCAACTTTACAGAAAAATTCTGGAGCAAGTTTTGGCACTACAAGTATGGCAATTGTTACGTATTTAATATGGGTTTAACAAGTTCTGGATCAAAAAGTTCCATTTTGAAGTCAAACAAAGCTGGTCCCTCGCATGGTAAATATTGCTTTCAATCTGCAAATTGTAGTCTGTCATTCAGTCAGTCCCCACGTTCCCTTGTTGCTCATTATTAAGTCAGTCAGTCAGTCAGTCTGTCAGTGTATCAGTCAGTCAATAAGAAAGTGAGTCAGTCTGGCAGCCAATCAGTCAGACAGTTTTTCAGTCTGGCAACCAGCCAATCAGCAAGACAGTCAGTAAGTCTGTCTGTTCGTCTTTCTGTCAGTCAGTCAGTCAGTCAGTACTTGTCTGTCAGTCTACCTGTCTGTCTCCATGTCTCCCAATCCGTCAGTGTATCTACTAGTCTGCCTATATCTCGACCGTATGTCTTTCTGTCTTTCCGTCTATCTTTGGCTCTGTCTCGCTCTAGGTCTATCGGTCAGTGTGCCAGACTGCCCATCTGTCTGTCTGTCTTTCTATCAGGCTGTCTGTCTGTCTGCTATATTTAACTAAGTCAGTCAACAGTCGGGCAGGCAGGCAGATAGGAAGAAATTCCAATCCCATGCCAGCTTTCAAGCAATGCCTGTTTCCAGGGACGAAAAATTGTATAGTTTACAGCTGGCTGTCCACTATTAGATGTCCATATTTTTTTCATATTCCATTCTCTTTTGTGGCAGCTATGTATGTGTTTTATGTAGCCAACGACCAGTCACTGGGTTGTTGATATTGGAGCTTCGTTGATACATAAACAGCGACCCTGACGAGTAACACTTACTTTAGTGTTTTCTCTTTGCTAGGGTTGAACCTTGAGATAAACATTGAACAAGATGACTACCTCGATCACCTTACCCCAGAAGCGGGTATAAAGCTTGATATTTCAAGCCAAGGATATATGCCATTTCCTTTGGAAAAAGGCTTAAGCCTGCCTGTAGGCTTCGCCTCGACAATAGGTCTCAGAAAGGTAAATAAAGTTTTACCAGTGAAACAAGAATATAGAAAAGAAGAGACAAATGAAAATAGCATCCAAGCTTTAGAGCTCAAAATTTTTTGGGAAACATTCTTGTGTATGTAGTAATAAAGCTTAGATTTTTTTGTTCTGCTCCGAATTTTAATTTTAGTATAAACTGTTTACATCTCTTTTATTTTTATATTTTTCATGACGTTTTAAAAATTAATCTGTTAGCTGTCCAGAGTAATTTAAATATATATATTTTTTAATCGAAGATGGCAGATTCTCGGTAGCAGACATTTGAAAATACCTGACGTCATTTTGGCGTTCTGTGACGTCATGACTGACACTTGATTATCTCTACAGTAAAACGTGTTTGCAAGCTTCAAGCACCCTATAAGTTTCATTACTTTAACGCGAACACTTTTGGCTAAAATGAACTTAAAATTGAAATTAATAGCCATACAACTTTACCGACCCTTATACAGCGAATTATTTTACTTGCCAAAAAAATCATTAGTGCTATAACTGTTGTCGGTTTCACCCACTCAAGGGAAAACTCGAGGGTACTTGGTGTTAAATGCTGCTGTTGTGGTGACCATAGCAACGAGCAACGAGCCGCTTACAATTGTCACATTGTAAATAATAATCTTATTTTCTACGGTAGGAAAACCATCGATCATATTTCAATTAGCCTCACGCTCTTTTTTGATTGGTTGTAGGTCAATTTAAAACGAGATGATCCATTCAATAACCACCGATGTCACGAAAACACTGGTCCAGACAAATCCAACTTGTACACCAAAATATTCAATGTCAATTATTCGTCTACGGTAAGAAAAAGGGTAATGTTATTATTTTCATTTAGAGCTCTGTTGGCCTTTTTTAAGTTAGCAAAATCATGTATTTTGATTGTGTCACCTGATATTTTAGGATTTTGAAAAAAATCTTAATAGGTTTTAAGACATATTTATTCCAGGAATGGGAGGCGCGGTGGCCTCATGTTTAGTGCCCTCGCGTTGGGATCGCGCGGTTCGGTTTCGAGCCCTGGCTGGGGACATTTTGCTGTGTTCTTGGGCAAGACACTACTCTTACAGTGACTCTCTCCACCCAGGAGTATAAATCGGTATCGGTAAATTTAATGCTGGGTGGTAACCCTAAGATAAACTAGCATCCATCCATGGGGGGAGTAGAAATACTCCTAGTTGCTTCATGCTACAGAAACCGGGATAAGCGCCGGCCTGACTTGCCACTTGGCTGGTATGCAGACTTTAATACTTACCTTACCTGTCCTAGGAAATCATTAAATGTACAGAAAATGATCCAGCAGACAATACCTGTCATTCCCTTTCGCATACGAGGCTGTAGGTGAATAAACTTGAAATTCTTCCTGTTAATTTAGCATCCAGACTGTTCTTTTAACTTTTAGGCCTGTAAGGAGTCTTGTCTCGCCAAACATCAGTTTTCACAGTGTGGCTGTATGGAGTACAGATTTCCTCTGGATAAAGAGCCCGTTTGTAACATAACAAAGAAAACTGTCAGTAAGTCAGCAATGAGTTAATTCTGTTTCTTTCATCAAACCATTTCGAGTATGTAAAAAGTCTTGAGCCAAGCAATGCAATAGTGCGTAAACCGTGTTTGCTTCCATTTCAGCCTGCATAGTTATATATCATTCGAGAGCTCAGAACAAAAAAGTGGTCCATCCCAACTTACATAACTGGAATTGCATCCATTTTTGTGTACAATTGCAATACGAACTGATCCCCTACCCAAATGTGGAAAATAGTTTGAATACAATTGTTTAAATGACACATTGCTTGAAATAAACCTATTTAATTATATCAAGGTTATTTTGCAGTTTTGGGGGTTGGCCCTTTTAAGCAAGTTATTAATTTTGTTTCACTCACGGTTTCTCTCAAAAGATGGAGCTTTAAACACGCCTTTTAATTGAATATTCTATGAACTTGACGCTCTTCGATTCTATTTCTTGTGATACTTAACCGTCTTCTTCAATACTTGCTACTTGACAAGGAAAACGTATTTACGCTTTTTATTATAGTATAAAGAAACATTGCTGGTTCATTTAAATGTAGCTATGCATATTTATGCAAAACTCATCCTTCCAGACACATCCCCGTTTCAATCGTTTAGAACATCATGGTTGATTCCACAATGTTTCATTGGCTTTTTTTTATCGTTGTAGTTAGCTGTCTCAACAAGCTGCAAAAGATGTATAGAAACAACGAGCTAAACTGCAGTAGCTCCTGTCCACCACCCTGCAGGTAAAACTGAACTGTCCACTGAATTATTAAGGAAACTTCGTGTAAAAGCAGGCAAAACGATAAGACTTTGTGAGACCATGGTTTAAGACTGGTAAATGGTAGAAACTGAAATATATCCAGCAGCGGAGGCGTTAAGACGATTATAGTTAATTACAAAGCTAAGCGTCCAAGACACAAACCAAATATAAGACCAGCCCTTTTGCCTAAAGACCATTCTCGTCACCAGAGGCCGCGCTCCTTTCGGTCAGCACCAAGAATCGCTACCTCTGGCCGGACCCGATTTTCTGAGCATGTGCAGAGTATTCGTTTCGTATTCTCAGCCAATCAGATTTTTAAGACTTGAGGGAAGTCCGTGAATCGCAGACTTTGGGTGTTGGATCAGCCCAGAGCTCGCGATTCTTGGTGCTGACCAAAAGGAGACCGGCCTCTGCGGACGAGAATTCCTAAAAACACGCTATTGACGGACGACTGCACAGCGGGAGTCCGACTTGTTAACCACGAGTATGATTACAGACTGAATTGGACAACACAATGTCTTGTTACCAATTAATCATAACCATTACAATTTCCCTCTTAAGTAAAAGTTTTATTTGAAAAATAACTTTCAATAATAGTCCTTCTCAGGTATGATAATTACAATTTTCGAAAAAATATGAAGAATAGCTTGAAAAATGGTTGTTCAGTTTCTTTGAATCCTCGAAAATTTTAAAAGTCACTTCCTTGAATTGGAAAATTCAGCAGTTTATGCACCAATCACATTTGAGAAAACTTAATTGTTATGATCCGATTAATCCTGGTATCAGCGGATTAAATACTGAGAAAGATACCATCATCCATTGTTTCAATAGGTAATAAAACCGCTACACAACAGTTTCGAGTTATTTTTTTAAACTCTACTAAGTATTAAGTTTGATAGTTTCCGTCTTCATTGTCATCCAGACGAACATCTTAGAAACGCTTTATTTGTATACACTGTGGAATGAATGAGCAACTTACTGTATTTTCAGGCAAGAAGAATTTAAAGTAAGCACTTCGTATGCAGTCTGGCCATCGGAAAGATACGAGGTATTGAAAGAGATATCATATGGGTTACATAAATAGGAGTTATCGAGCGTGAGTTACTTTGATAACTGAACTTCATTATGTTGTCTCTGGTAGCCGACAAATCTATGGTAGAAAATGAAAAAAAAAAAAAAACATACNTTTAAAGATCCACGTGCGATGGTGCCATCTATTTGTTTGTGGTCTTGTTGACGATGAGGGATAGAAATGAGCAGCTGGCGAGAAATTTAAATAGTGATATTGAATCTGAAAATGCTAAAAAAAAAAAAAAAAAAAAAATACCAGATGGGTTTGGAAAAAGGCTTCTTTAACAGGAAACCCGATACTCTTTTCTTGTTTGATTTTATGCATTCATAAACCAGACAATTTAAAATTAGGAAGCAAAAATTAGACCTACGGATTCCGAAAAAAAAGATTCTTTCACGCTTTGCATGCAATTCCAAAAAAACTTCGAAATAGAAACTGTACGTGTAAGTTATATACTGACGCTAATACTTCACGAGTTCTTTTTTGATTTGGTTTTGGCTCTATGTTGATATATACAGTAGAACCCCGGTAACTCGAAGTCGGATGACTCGCATTCCCCGCTAACTCGAACTAAATTTCGTTTCCCTTGATAAAAATTTACCCCGATAACTCAAATTCTGGTTCATGTAACTCACCAGGGATGTCATCCCATTAGCTTTTCTTGTCCTGTATCGGTAAAAACACTCAAAACTAACACCACAGCAATTTGATTTTAATTAGTGCAACCGACCTTTCACATATTTGACAGTCACTTCCCGATGTTATGAGTCATACCGGATGCGGTGCCTTTAGCTGTCACCGTATACTGAAGTGCTGAAAAATCAGTAAGCTATCAATTATTAACATGGCAAGTTGAATTTTCAATCGACACCGATAACTCGAATCCCCGCTAACTCGAACTGTTTTTCGTTTCCCTTCAGAGTTCGAGTTACCGGGATTCTACTGTATTTTATAACTGATAATTAAATTATCGATTGTTTTGATTTAGACTAACTGAACGTTAATACCTTTTCAACCTTAAGGATTACTACCAAGCTGAACTGGAAAAGCGCGGGAAATTTGTTTGGGCAGATGTTGGTTCTTATCGGTAAGAAACTGTCTGATTACTTAAATTTATAACTACCTATATTAATCTAATCCCATGGATATACCAGATAAAACGAAAGACGTTAACGTGAACACGAGAGCATTCTTTGCTCCACCATGTTGACCTCGTAGTTTGCTACTCTATGTGATCATGGGAAATGCGTTACACCAAACCTACTGTCCAGCGGCTGCACCATTGCATGAAACGCCTTGCAGAAATGATCGGCTAAACAAAACAGGACAACAAATTGAGAATCCTAACTGGCTAACGCAGTATTTTCTAAACAGCTCAAAACTTTACCAATTGAGTAGGTGAATTAATTTTCCTTAATTGCAGGGTTATTGAAAGCTAAAGATTGCATTTATTTCGATTCTTGTTAAGATTTAATACCAAAATAAGAAGCACCACATAGCCTTTTAATCATTGTTTTTTGGTAGCATACCAAAATCTTGGTATCATTTCTTTTAGGAAAAATGTTTTAAAAGTCCAAGTTTTCTATGAGGAACTTAACGTCGAACTGATAACAGAAGAAAGATCATATGAAGTAAGTATAGTTTTGACTTTCTTTGAGCATGTAACGATTTGCTCTCATACTGAGACAGTGAAACGCTTGACAAGCCTGTTACAAACGCGATAATCTCAAATTCAGATAATATGATGGCAAAGCAACTAAACTTCATCCATTAGTTAAGGTCTTGCCATTTGCTGCCCTGCGTAATTAACAGTTCCCTGTGATAAGTACTGTCTCAAATCTGTCTGAAATTGGTTTCTGCCTTTTACCTGCTTCTTTATGAAGTAAGCGGTCGACTCATTAACGAGTGTCCCAAATCAATATAATAGCCAAGCGGTTAAATCTCCGTCCATGTTCAAAGAAGGTTCAATTTGTTGCCAAAACTGATTTGCAAGCAGTTCCTGTCAAAAAAATCATCCTTTCTATAGCAGGAGAGCCCGCTTAGTTAAACAACATAACAAACAATTCCAGAATCATATGTGTGCTGAAACAGGAATCTTACATTAGGAGACGGCAGCTACCCACATTAAACCTCATTTTAAGCAGCCTTTCAAAGTCAGCTCAGGCGAACACAAAATTGACACCTCATAATCTACACCAATAAACCGCATCGTCCAGAAAATTACTAATCTACGCGAGCATTTTTTGCCGTCGTCGTGATCTTAGACGGTAAAACCAGATACGATTATTTCAGTAGAACTTATGTTCCTTTCTCTACAGCTCGCAGATTTCGCTTCAGACATTGGTGGTCAGTTAGGCTTATGGATTGGCTTCTCTGTGCTAACAATAGCTGAGTTCTTGGAGTTTTTCGCGTTACTGTGTTTTCTTGTTGTCAAAAAGTGCTCATCTGGGAACAAAGTCTCTTCAATCAAAATGGAAATGAAGGCGACAGACTCCTATACCAACCACGCCATGAACACGCGATAAAAGATAGAATAACTGCCTTTTTAGCCATCCAACGATTAGTAATTTTACGACAGGTCCTGAGATAACTGTGAACATTCGCTTAAGATTTTACTCAGGGTACTAGGAAGCTAGAGTTCTCACGGCTTGTAATGGTAGAAAAACCGAAATCTGTATCGAATGTGGGTTTAGGTGATCATTTTATAACAGCTAGAAGAAAATTGTCGAACTATATTTCTTGTACATGAAACGCAAAATATGTATATAAGCCCATTTACACGTCATAAAGAATCGGCACGACACATTAAATTCTCGGCATCGTGCGCAAACCATTTCGGTACGGCAGTAATCTTTAGTAATCTCGTTTGATAAAGTCCCTTCAGCCACCTTTTATCGTAAAACCTGTGAATGCGTCATCCCTGGAATACAACTGGACCCGCACCGGAAAGCGTTAACACGAACGTTGCTTTTGGCAGTGTACCTCGATTACCCTAGCCGACACTACCTTCTGCTTATGAAGGTAATGCAAAAGGTGGCTTTTACACAGACGGAAGCACTCGTCAGCCACTTACGGGCGAAAGAAATCGACATCTAAAAGAAACTGATGGCCTGAAGAGAGAGGGACAAGAAAATTAAAGCCTTTTTAAGGTGATGGTGCAAATGGTTTGTCAGAATTCCCGTAGACTGCAAAACAGTCGTATTTTTTGCGAACGCGAGCGACGGTCAATATTCGAACGAAAGGTCTGGAGCGAATGTAAAAACGGCGAGGGAGAATGGGGAGAGACGCTAAAAAATAATACTGTCCGCCATGCATATGTTAAATTCGTTCAGAATTTCCCGTTCTTCCAGCAACGGGAAATTCCCATTGGTTTAATTCTGACGCANGTTATAAAGAATCGGCACGACATCTTAAATTCTCGGCATCGTGCTCAAACCATTTCGGTACGGCAGTAATCTTTAGTAATCTCGTTTGATAAAGTCCCTTCAGCCACCTTTTATCGTAAACCCTGTGAATGCGCCATCCCTGGAATACAACTGGACCCGCACCAGAAAGCGTTAACACGAACGTTGCTTTTGGCAGTGTATCTCGATTATCCTAGCCGACACTACCTTCCGCTTATGAAGGTAATGCAAAAGGTGGCTTTTACAGAGACAGAAGTACTCGTCAGCCACTTACGGACGAAAGAAATCGACATCTAAAAGAAACTGATGACCTGAAGAGAAAGAGACAAGAAAATTAAAGCCTTTTTAAGGTGATGGTGCAAATGGTTTGTCAGAATTCCCGTAGACTGCAGAACAGTCGTATTTTTTGCGAACGCGAGCGACGGTCAATATTCGAAAACGTCCGAAAACGACTGTTTTGCAGTCTAGAATTCCCGAGAACTGAAGAAATTTGTGGTTATCAATCCGGGTACCTCTTAGATGCTTTTCTTCCTCAGAATAATATAGTTTTATGCATTCGATGATCGAAAAGAAATTTTGTACTTCGCAAATGAAAATGCTGACTATATCGTGACTTATAATCCGTCAAATAGTTTTGCTAGCGGGCGATTGGTCTAAACACATCACGTGACTGAATATTCCCAGCTAAAACGTGGGAATATCCGAGTGATATTCCTCAGTCTTCAAAACCGTGCGGGTTTGTGAAAAACATTTGAAGGATAATAAACACAATAGCCTCCATTAGGCGGAAAATATGCTCGAATAATTGTCCTTGCGCATTATCTGATCCTCGAAGCTCACAGTTTTCCGAGAAAAAGTGTTCGCTTCTCGGAACAGAGAATGTTCGGGGACAAATATCCGGGTAATTTTTACTCCAACTGGAGGCTATTGTTTACATTGTTTTTATCCCTTTTAACTGGGTTTACACTTGATTGAACGAACTAATATTAGCTGGTGCTAGGAAGTAAGAATACAAAATCGTAGAGATATGTTTATTTTATATACATTTATGGTTTACAGTGCTGTTTATTATAATGGGTATTATATAGCTAAGTTTCAAAAGTTACAATAAAGTGCTAATTTTATTGAGGAGCGTTTTGAAATTAATTAACGTCAGCAATAAAAAGGCAGCACCTTTGCTTTTAAGGCAATACGCTTTACTCTAATTGTGCCTGGTTCTTGCTAGATATCCATGCACAGTTATTTGCGCTGAACGAACCGGACTTCCACCGGTTTGTTACTAGCTTTTATTACTACTGGCAACAGAACTATAGCTTGTCACGTTTATATAATGAAATAGTGTACCCAGAAAATACAGTCGACTGCTGCGTCAACCGATATCGACCTATTACGAGATAATAATATAATCTGGTTGTAAGGCGTGTATTATCAGCTTATTCGACTAGGCCATTTGCAGCTAGGCCATCACATGATCTACTTTTCATAAAATCATGGGATATAACTTACAGAATGGAATAAAGCATGTCAAAAATATCAAAATGGCCAAGTTTGAGGCCCCTGGCATTAAAGAGTAAGATCTTATGACGGTTTGAATTTTTAAAAAATTGAGAAAATTTTTACCGAAAACGTTGATGGACAGCAAGACCTTGCTCTCCAGCAACATTTCCCAACTTCAAAGGACCTCTTCATTGTGGGTTCACGTACCACATGGTGACTAAAATGCACTTATCACAAGTTTCAACTGGCGAGGTAAA